TGCTGGGGTGGGGGCTGAGAACCATTGAATTGAGCAGGAGGGTGGGGCTGAGGCTCTGGGAACAGTGCCAGGGAGGGAAGGCTGGGCCGGGCACCCAGAGCTGGTTTCTGTAAAACACAGGCCCAGGCTCCAGTGTGGGGCAGCCTCCAGTGTGGTGCAGCCCAAGGACCATCAGCCCAGGAAGCTGAGGGAACTCAGGAGAGGCCCAGGAGGCTTCTTGTAGACATGGGGACTTGAGCAAGGCCCTGAGGCAAGAGGAGCAGTTGGATAGGCAGAGAAAGAAGGGCATTCTGGGCGTAGAAAGAGGGCATTCTGGGGGTATCAGGCCAGGAGGGATGGCTCACCCTTGTAATCCCAGCACTCTGGGAGGCTGAGGCAGGAAGATGGCTTGAAGCTAGGAGTTCAGGACCAGCCTGGGCAACAAAATGAGCCTCCCTCTCTTAAACAAATTTTTTTATTAGCCGAGTGTTGGTGATGCACGCCTATAGTCCCAGCTACTTGGGAGACTGAGGCAGGAGAATTTCCTGAGTTTATGAGTTTGAGGATGCAGTGAGATAGGATTGTACCACTGCACCCCAGCCTGGGCAAGCAACAATGTGAGACCCTGTCTCTTAAAAAGGAAAAAGAAAAGAAAAAGGCATGTAGATCCATGCAGAGGTAGGAGAAAATAAAACACTTGGGGAAACGAAAGTACCTAACCGCATCTGGCTGGAAGTAGACTGCTGAGGGTCCCTGAAGTGTCCCTACCATCTCCAACAAGAGCAGGGTCATCCTTGTTGGTGTTCGGGCCCAGGCCTCTGCCTCCCCTAACATTCACTCATTCTCTCCGCAGAGGCAAGGGGTACCCCACTAACAGGTGCTTCCCTGATCCAGAACCCCCAACTACTTCTGGAACATAGGAATGGGCTGTAAGTGCCCCCAAGAAAGAGGAGGCTACATTTGCACCCTGGGTGAAGCCCCCTCAATACCACCTCTGCTGCTCCTTCCACCCCCAGGCTGGGCTTCCTGTGCTGGACAGAGCACATGTCCTTTGACCAGGGCCCAGGGGTCAGGACTGGAAAGGAGCAGAGGGGGCTGAGACCCTGGACTCATGCCCTGTCCCCCGACCCCAGGGCCACCTATCAGCCCACCTACAGGAGACCCAAGCCCGGTAGTTTGGGGAGATCTGAGGTGCTCCTTAATCTGCATATGCTAGGAGAGTCTTGGCTCCGGAGTCATATAGATCTGGGCTTGACCCCAGCTGGGCCACTATGATGACTGAATGGGCCTGGCATGTTGCTTAAACTCTCTTTGCTTTTGGCTTTCTCATCTGCAATGTGGGGATGTGACCTGAGGACCATGGCTGGCTGGCCGGGGAGAACATATGCAAAGTAGCTGGCACGGTACCTGGCTCGAGGGGTAGAGTGTGTTGTCCAGGTGGGGAAGGGCGAGTTTACCCCAGGCCCGCAGTATTGTCCCCCAATTCACACTCAGTCTGCCTACCGGTAGGGATGACAGGGCAGGCTGGAAGCCGAGCCCAGAGAGGCAAGTACCCCTGGCCCCACTAGGAACATGGGTCTAGCCTGGTCTTCCAAGCTTGTCCTGCCCCCCAACATGAGCTGATTGGAGAGCCTAGTGCTGAGCCCAGAACTTCCCCGACCAGGGTGTGTCCTCTGCAAGCTCTGGTCCTGCCCTGCCCTTTCCAGAAACCAGGCTGCAGAGTCAGGGGTGGGGTCTGGCCTGGAAGCGGGTTCTGCCACCTCTATCCAGGCAGTGGCACCGAGCTGGGCCAGCCACCTGGGGGGATTGTCCCAGCAGCAGTTCCCACCCATCCTCAGCCTCCAGCACTCCAGTCAAGGAGAATGGGACCCAGCAGGAAAGAGAGGTCTCTGGGGGCTCCATAAGCCCCACACACACACAAGAGGGGCTGGCCCAGACCAACCACTGCAAACCCAGCTTCCCCTGACATGTTATAGTCAGTGAAGCAATGACAGTGACTGACACTGATCCTGTACTTACCCACACTGATTACCATACACATTTTGCCACTTAACCTTTATAAGAATCTCCAGTTCTTAGAGGAAGTCAGGCACAGACAAATAATTTGCCCACAGCTGGGAAGTGGCAAAACAAGAATTCAGTGGGAGAAAGGGAGACTCCGGATTCAGAGTATGGGGTCTCCCTGAGAAGAGCGGGGCTCCAAGGCATGCAAGCCCTGGAGAAGCCCTCCTTCTGTCCTGGCTTTCCACCTAGAAGTGCACATTCAGAGTGGAATCAGCTCTGCTCAGGGCACAAGCTTGTCAAGAAAGCAAATCTGACCACAGGACAGGAAGAGTCTCCGCCTCTCTGACCTAGTGTGGAGCAGAGCCTGAAGGTCATTTCCCCTGAACATATGGGTTTACACAGGACACTGAGAGGTCCACGTCACAAGGGGTCATGGAGACATCCAAAGTCTCACCGTGAGGCAAGATGGGAACTGAGAGCAGTGGAGAGGGTGGTCCCTGGGAGAGCACGGGGACTGGTGAAGGTGGAGGGGTTAGTGTGGGTGGAAGTCACCCAGCTGCAGCCCCACCTAGCTCCTTAGTGATCAGGAGGCCCAGGCCAGCTCTCAGCCATGCCTATAGCTTGTGTGTTTGGTTCAGTACCGTGGTAAACACCAGAGTAACGGAAGTAATGAATGAACCAAGGGGTAAGTGAGCGGGCTTGTGAACCCATCTCAGTGTATTTTGTGCACACAACCATGGTCCTTCTGTTCCCTGGAATGTCACAGGGGGCGGGCATAGGGCCACTTGGCCTGAAGCCTATGCCCTTGCCTGTAGAACTTGGAAGCAAATGGTCCAGGTATGCTCCTGCAATCTGGCACCCACTTGCTCTCTCCTCGGTGACTAGGATAGGACAGAGCCACCTCCACAGACTTCACTCAGGGATAAATGCTCTAAGCTCCATGTAGACCAGGTCTCTGTAGGTCTCCTCACTCAGGTTGACCTGTGATGATCCTCTTAAGATAATGGCATAGGAACCTTGACTGGGCAGGGGACTCAAAAGTTCTTTCCTAAATACCACTGAATACCAAGTGACCGTAGGAGAAAATAGAGTAAGTGGGATCAGGCCTTTAGAGGGTTGGGAGGCTTCAGAGTAAGAGGGCAAGGGTGCCTTCTGTGTGCACCTCAGGGTACAGTTTTAAAGGAGAGGCCACGTCTACTAGAGGGATGATCAGAAGGACTCTGTCGGGAGAGGAGGCTTGGGGGAGGGGGACCACTGCTCCATCTGGCCTCTTGCTGCTCCACAGAGGCTTAGGAGGTGCCCTGTGGGGGGCGGGGGGAGGTTGATGATGGCTGGAAAATTCCGATGTCCCAAGTCTGAACTTGAGGCAAGTGCCCCTGGCACCACCATAGGAACCTGGGTCATGAAGGTGGCATGTGAGGGTGGGGCTGCAGTGTCCCCTTATCCATTCCTCCCCTTATGGGGAGAAGGGCTGGGGCACTGCCTCAGCTGCCCTGCTCTGCCCTGCAAACTGGGGATAGCAGAGCAAAAGCTTGCCAGGAGCTGCCAGAGACCCTGCTGAGAGCCCTCCTTGGGCCCCAGGCCCTGGCTCCTGCCTCTCTTTCCATCTAGGGGGGCTCTAACAGCAGAGCCTTCTTGCCCCAACCAGAGGATGCGTTGGCTTCTGCTAATAACTGTGGCTCTTCAAACATACTGTGCTGGCTCCTGCTTCTAGAATTTTGTATGCACGGTTTCCTTCCTAACCCCAACCTTTCCCCTTGACTTTCTCCTCCTCATCCTCTGGGTCTCAGTATAGACACCCCCCCTCAAGAAAACCCTCCCACCTATGAGGCCAGATAGGATGCATGTGTATGTGTCACCCCAGCATTACAGGCCCCCAAGTTGTCACATGGGGCTGGAACCTCCTGCTGCTGCCCCCTCTGTCCCACACAAGCCCTGCAGACTCTTGGAGATGTGTGCCTGCTTAAGTTTCAGCACCCCTGTGCCCAGCACAGTGCCTGGCACACGGATCTTGCTCAGGAGATATGTACGAATGAATGAAAGATTGAATAAGAAATGAGGCCAAGAATGCAGGCTAAGCCCCTCCCAGTTGCCCAAGGACCACATCCTTTCCACCCCTGTGGCATCCAACACAGGATAAATAGCTCTGTGTCGTTTCCTGAGAACACAGAGTGACTCGTGGGAACAGAGGAGTCCCACAGAGTGTGGTACTGATGGCCTCACATGACAGTGGCATGCGCCAGCAGGGAGGAATGGATCACCCTGTCCAGGAGACCAGGGAGGCCCTTCAGACACAGGGCTCATTGAGCTCTGGCTGATGGGTACAAGTGGGGAACAGGAGACAGCATTCCCAGCACAGGCAACTGCGTGAGCAAAGGCACAGGTGCAGGAGAACATGGACAGCTGCCAAACCTTGTGCTCTCTTGTCCCACATTGGTGCCATGTCCTCCAGCCAACTGGAATCTGGGCCACCGTCTGTCCTCTTCAGCTCAGGGACCCTGCCTGGTTTGTGGGATTAAGCCCTACAGGATGTACAGACCGTGGGAAAGGAAATCTGAGGCACCCACGCTAGCCCGCACCTCTCAGCAGCTTGGGCCTGAACACTGACCAATCAAACTGGCCCTCCAAGGGCTTCCTGCCCCACAGATGCCTGGTTCTTAGTGCTCTGGCCAGGAGGAAAAAGAAAACAGGAGCCATCAGAAGAGGTGCCCCATTGTTTCCCAGTGAATGACTCATGTAGAATGCGCCATCCCTGCTTGACAGCACCTTTCCCCAGTGTGCTGTTCCTGGTGACTCACAGTGGCTGAAGTCACAGTCCTTTTGGCTGATCGTGCCTCCCCCAGGGCCGTGAGAAAGCATGTGCATAAACCTGGGCATCAGCCATCTCTCCAGCTGGAGGCAGGCGGAGGGGACCAGACAGGGAAGACTTCCCCAAAGGTGGTGGGTACAAAGGGACACCTGTGTCCCTGAGGCTCTGATGTTTGCCATGAGACCAGGAAAAGGAAGAGAAACACCAATCAGTGTGGGTGGCTTTTTATTACTGGCAAGGTGGGGTGGTGGGCAGGCAGGAGCTCCCAGCTGGGCTGCTCCTCATTTCACAGCAGGAGATGCCCCGGAGGGGCCCAGAGCTGGGGGTCAGGGAGCACACAGGAGCAGATCTTTGAGAGGGGCAGCCTCTACTTCCAGCGCCCTGTGACTTTGGCCTTCCCTCGGGTCTTGGAGCTGCAGGGGAAACGGAACCCAGTGAGATGGGGACATAGGCAGGGTGGCAGGTCTCCATAGGGTGAGGGGTAGGATGCAGGTGGCGACTTGAGAGGAGCAGCCTGCAGGTACTGACATAAGAAAGAGCCTGCAGCTGCCTCCTGGGCAGAGGAGGGCAGCAACCTCAGGCTGCAGGGAGGCCCTGAGTCCCACTACAGCAAGCAGTGGCTGGGAGAGAGGAACAGAAAGCCCTGGAAGACCAGAGAAGGAAGCATGCGCACTGGAGGAGAGGAGGAAGGTCTGGATGCCCAGAGTCCTCCACGGGGGAGGAGGATGGCTAGGAGTGGGGAAGGAGGAGGCAGAGGCAGCAAGGAAAGGATGACGTCAGATACTCACACTTTCTGGTTATCATTAATCCTGTTTCGGAGAACATTGATCTGCAAAAGACATGGGCAGAGAGTAACGTCAGAACTTGTGCAACTCAGGTCCCAGGTGGCCTGGGGCTAAGGAGAGTACAG